CCTTTAATGCTTTTCTGAAAATTTTAGGATATACACCATACAAAACAATGAAAAAAGTGTGTTTTTATTCTCTTTGAAGGCAGGTCCACGAGTTGAGTTCATCACTGATTATGCACAGTTTAACTTTAATCCATTAGTGTATTAGGTTACAACTTTGGTTCCGCCGTTTTTGCAATACGAGTTCTATACAATTAGGCCTAATATTTTTAGAAAAAACGGCGGAAGCAAAGTTGTACAAATGATATTCTTCGACAAGTTTAATTGTACGTGAGGCAGTTGTTGGTAATTTTAATTTGGTATATATATTAAATTTACAACTTTGCTAGCGCCGATTTTGTACTACGAGTTCTTCAAAATAAAGCCTAGAATTTTGAGAAAAAACAGCGTATAAATGATATTTTCTCATAAGTAAATGTGTATCACTATTGCATGATGCCATGTAGTCTACACTGCATTCTTATATCTAGCAAGGTTAAAGTTTAATTTAATATATATTTGATATACAACTTTGTTGCCGTCGTTTTTATATAAAATTTCTTCACTATCAAGCCTGAAGTTTTGAGAAAAAACAAAGAAAAGTTGAGAAGCAAATTTGTACACAAAATATTTTTCGACAAATTTAAATGTATATCGCTGTTTCATGATGTCATGTAATCTAGAGGGCTTCATTATCTTGTCGCACACGATTTAATTTTAATGTAATATATATTTGATGAACAACTTTGCCGCCGACGTTTTTTTAATACAATTTCTTCATAACAAAGCCCCAAATTTTGAGAAGAAACGGCGTAAGTAAAGTTGTACGTATAATATTTTTCGACAAATTCAAATGTATATCACTATTACTCGATATCATGCTCATTTTTTTGCCTAGCCTAATTTTAATTTAATATATATTTGATGCACAACTTTGTTTCCGCCGTTTTTTTAATACATTTTCTTTACATTAAAGCCTGAAATTTTAAGAAAAAACGGCAAAGATTTTTTTGTCGAAAAACACGTGAAGGGAAGGATGTAGTAAGATATCACGTGTACTTATTTTTTATCTAAATTAAAAAAAAAACATTTTCAAAAAAATTCAAAAATTTTTCCATTTTTTTGCGTAACTAAAAATACACGTGGTGTTTGGTGGGGGAGGGGATGTTAATTTTGAATATTACTCTGTATCATCAAGGGGCAGGTGGGTCCAAAAATAATTAAAAAAATCGATCACATGATTAATGGGCGTCCCTCAAGTTTAATTTAATATATATATGGTATACAACTTTGCTTCCGCCGATTTTTTCCTACAATTTCTTCACAATAGAGCCTGAAATTTTGAGAGAAAACGGCGGAAGCAAAGTTGTACACATAACACAAATTTTTCGATAATTTGACATGAATTTTGTTTAACAATTTTCATATAACCTAAAGTCTGCTGTTATGACCTAAACATTCCGGATATGAAAAGTTGAACATTTTAACGCATTTGATAGCACTTTAGTATATCAATGTTGCATGATGTCACAATGTTTCACATCAAACCCCGTATATCATTATTATAATTAAAATTGTAACTTTAATTGGTTATTGAATTTAGTTATTAAAAATATCAAACGTTTCGTATATAGATTTTCTCATTCGTTAGCGAAAAGTGTACGAGTATATATGTTTGTATATATACTGGTGTGTGTACGTATGTGCGTGTGCGTATAATTCGGTTTATAATAAATGAAATTGAATCCTGATGCTCCTGGTGGCTCCGATTCTCTGTTGAAGTTAATTAATAAAACGCCGGACGTTCCGGCCCTGTCTGAATCTTTTATGAGCCACTCAATTTATGCTTCATACGTTTCCGGATGCAAATAATACGGAACTGGAATATACATCTAGACATGTATATATATATATATATATATATATATATATATATATAGCAAATTCTACTCAATTTGCGAATTTTTGCGCGATACAAAAGCCTGTCGAAAGAGTATTCAAGGTCATGACCTTCAAAATCTCTCGAGACTTTTTTGCAATCAGGATACAAGAATAATCTATGAAAATTAAACGTTTTTGTAAATATAATCTCAAATAGATTGAAAAAATACTTTAGGGTTTGTAAATATTAGTGGTTTGGATTTTTTTTATTGAATTTTTGGAATTATTATTATTATAAACCCACAATTATGATATTAAATTTCGAGAAGTATTTGGATCATGCAAAATTATAATAATTTTTTAAAAAAAATTTGAATTATGTAAAAATACAATTACTTTAATTTTAATTGTTTCCGCACTCCATAGAGGCGCCACTAACTTTAGCACGTAAATTCACCACTAGGTTCAATTCTAGATAAGATCTAGTTGAATATATAATATAGAAAAAAGGTAACTTGATTAATTTGGATAAGTATATTTTCCACTAAATCACAAAATTATTTTCAACAAAAAAATATAATAAAAAAATATTAAACGCTTTTTTTTAAATATATAAAGTTTAGATTTTTTTTAAAATTTTTAACCTACTATTATGAAAATAAAATTTAAGAAATATTTGGATCGTGCAAAATTATAACAAGCTTTTAAAAAATATTGTAACCATGCAAAATTGCCATTAAGTACTTCGATTTTAATTGTTTTCCCGCTCCATAGAGTGCGCCACCAACCGTAGCACGTAAATTCACTACTAAATTCAATTTTTAGAAAAAAAAATCAATATATAATATAGAAAAACGGTAACTTGATTAATTTGGATGAATAAATTTTCCACTAAATCACAAAATTATTTCAACAAAAAAATATAATAAGAAAATATTAAACGCTTTATTTCAAATATATAAAGTTCAGATTTTTTTTAAATTTTTATCTACTATTATGAAATTAAAATTCGAGTAATATTTGGATCATGTAAAATTGCAACAATATTTCAAAAAATATTATAACCATGCAAAAATAGCATTACTTCAATTTTAATTGTTTCCGCACTTCATAGAGTGCGCCACTAACTATAGCTCGTAAATCTACCTTTGGGTTTAAATCTAGATACGAATTATTTGAATATATGATATAGAAAAAAGGTAAACCTGATTAATTTAAATAAATGTGATAAGAAAAAAATATACGCGTTTAAATTTTCAAAAAAAAATCAGAAAAAGTTTTCAACAAAAAATATAACGAAAAAATATTAAAGGTTTAAAGTACGTATATTACAATTAGTGTTCTTATAATTACTTAAGACCTTCTATTGAGACTGAAAAACACTAAAATAGGATAAAGAACATTTGTTCTAAGTTTACAACTTACTCTACTAGCTCTCCTATTAATAATCACATTAACTCTTATATAATTTTTTACCTTTATATAATGTTTGTTTCATTTAGTTATAGTTATATGCTTGAAAATCTATTTTGGTATTTTATAAATCTAATAAAATTTTATTAAGTGCAATTTATGCAACACATTGCACCGGTTGCAGTTAAAATTCTTTTGGCAAAATTTCAAAAATTTGCAATTTCTTAGGAAACCTTGACTCAGAGGTAAATTGTAAATTAAATGTAATTTTACACGTGAAATTTCTAAAAACAAATATTTCGGATGAAAAAATACTTTATTTGCAAACAGGATAAAGAAAATCTTGTAAATTTTTAGAACTTTTGTATTAAAATGTAGTTTCTATCTAAAATTGTGAGCAAAAATTATAAAGTTTTGTATCTATCATTTACCAACTTGCCAATAGGTATATGTTCATAATACAAATCGATATTCCTCTAATTATAATTATTGATGTAGTATTTGGATACGGTTGCAGCAATGTCAATAATTCTGCAAATCCTCCGGAAAATTATGCTAAAATCCTATCAATAACCGGAAACAACAATATGCCAATAGGCTTTGTGTCCACCATCATCTATTTACAAATGAATAAATTATTAATTATTATTTATTTATTTACAATACGGCTCTGTTATTAATAGTAATTGATAACTAAACAATTGATTTTAAGAGCAAAGAATTCTTTTACTAGTAATTGTTTTATCAGTAATTTTTATATGATATTTTGTTTCTGATTAGTTGAGAATTTTAAAAGGGTTCTATTCGTGCTCTCCAAATCGTTTAATGTGGCCATCCATGGTTTTTTGTTTTAATAAATATTTTAGGGTTTAATTTTCGGACGCTCGGGGAATGCCTTCGTTGTTTCTTTATTAATTTTTAATTTCATCATACACTCTATATATATGTATGTATGTATATATATATATATATATATATATATATATATATATATATAATATTTTATAGACGTTTCGTATACATGGAAAATTCCCTTCTTCAGAAATTGTAAAAACAAAATATTTCAACATCAAAAATTAATTTTTCAACATTATTTTGAAATGTAAATAATGTAAATGTAAAAAATGTATTAAACAGCTTCCAAAAAAGAAAATATCCAAATTGTGAATAAAATTTAATATGAAATATAAAATCCAGTTTAAAAAAAAACTAGAATCTTATAGATAATATCCAGAAAATAATTTATAAACCTAAGTATAATTTCTGGAACTTAAAATCCATCTACTCGAGTTTGTGAATATGTAACAATTTTTTTCTACTATTTATAAATTTGTAAAAAATGGCTCGACTGATCTTTTTCAAAAATATTCAATTCAACACTATTCTCGACATTTGTTTTGTTCTAGTTAAACTAGGACTTTTTTTCAAGTTTTTTTTGAATATCTATTAAAAAATACAAAAACATGAACTTCTATAAAATAAATTAAATCATAATAATAAATAAACAAAAAAATTCAGGGTTATACGTTTTTTTATTTATTCTTTAATTTTTTGAGTTGCATTTTTTCTTATAAAATTTTTCTTTTGTTTCTCACAAAAATAAATATTATTATATTACTATTTAAATAGTGTGGTTTTCAAACAACAACAAAAGTGAAGAAAGTGATAAAAACTTGTAATTTATTTTGTTTAATTATAAATTAATAAAATTTATATTCAATGGTGTAATTAAAATTTGGAAAAAAAACTGAGTTTTTGGAACCATGGGCTCCAAAAGAACATTTAGTGGTCTGCTGCTAATTTGTTGTTTGATTATTTGTGAATTTGTTTCAGGTGAGTAATAAATAAATTATAATATATATATATATATATATATATATATAATTATATTTACACACACACACACACACATTTATATATATATATAAACATATATATTTATAAATGTCTCTCTTCCACCTTTTACCCAAAGTACCAAAAAACCTCCGTACTAAAAGCTCCTGTAAAAAGCCAATATATTATGAAGTGAAATTTTCTTGTGATTTCATTAACATTACAAAATGCTCTTTTTCTTCTCCTACCATCTTTACATACATTCACTCTACTTTAAAACCAGAAAAAAGCTTTAAAGATCTTTTATAGAGAATATAAACACATTATATACTATAATGGGCTGGATGTGATTTTTATTTCAAAATTATTTTTATAAAATTTTTATAAAATATAAATAGAATTTTTGGAATGTTTTATATTTAAATATCATAAACATTTATAATTAACAATGATTTTATAATTTGTTTCATTATTATATTCTACTAATAAATATTATATTTTACTATTATTCTGATTTTAATCTTTTGGAGCATTTTCCACTTTTTCATTGAATTCTATATGAATAAATACATTTTAAAGAGTTTCCGAAAGCAATAAAGTTTACACATTTTCCAAAAGATTGTATATAAAAATATTATATAAATATTTTCTCTATAAATTATTTTATAAAACGGATTTTCTCTATAAATCATCTGTTTTTATATACGAATTCATTTCTCGAACTTCTTATGATGCGAATCAAAATTTTAAGATAAAACTTGTACTTTTGTTGTAAGTTTTTCGAGTTTTATTTACTTTTTTATTTTTTATATTTAAATTTTTAAACTGGATTTTATATTTCATATTAAATTTTATTCACAATTTGGATATTTTCTTTTTTGGAAGCTGTTTAATACATTTTTTACATTTACATTATTTAAATTTAAAATTTATTTATAATATATATATATATATATATATATATATATGCATATATATATATAATAAAATAGGAATATATTTTATTTTTTATATAATTCGTTCTTGCGGAAGAACAGTTATTCTAAAAGGGTACGTGACGACATTATTTTTGGCAGAAAATTTGCATACATACATATATACATATACACACATACATATATATACATACATACATACATACATATATATACATACATATATATATATATATATATATATACATATATATATGAAAAAAGATTCAGCCTATTATAATTCAAAATACATTTCTTCCCATATTTTTCGCGCGAACAATTATTCACAAAACATAAATTTTATTTTTGCAATTTATGACCAAAAAATCTTCCGTTATTATTATATATATGTAGGGTATCCCAGAACTCAACGGAGTGTTAGACAAAAAATATAAAAAAATATTACATGCAGTTGAGCTTTTAAGTGCAACTTAGAGCTTTGGTGACATTATATCTATTTTTCGGTTATTGTGTTTAAATTTTATTAAATTTGTTTATTTAAACTTTGGAAACGTAACCGTGAATAACATTTCTAAAATCACAGTTAGAAATAATAACACCTTTATCCCAAGTTTTCAAAAATTAAAGACTTTCTGTTGAACTATGAATTCAGAATTTCCAAAATCGATCGACTTTTAGAGGCGTTTTTGTAAAAAAATGTACTAAAGTGTATTGGAAAATTATATCAAAAGTTTGTGCATTTAATCAAGATTGTAAAATTGTAAAAGACTTGATAGGTTTATAATAAAAAAATCAAGTAAAAAATAAAAACTTAAAAATGATACGGTTTTTGCTAGTGCATTTCACTCTATGTTTATTAAAGTATAAAATAGAATAATTGAATTAATCGATTTTTTTAAGTACAAAATTCATCGTAACGTTAAAATAAAAATTAATAACAAAATTAATTTTATTTTTGCAATTCATAACAAAAAATCTTCCGTAATTATTATATATATACAGGGTGTCCCAGAACTCAACGAAGTGATACAAAAAAATTATAAAAAAAATATTGCATGCACTTTGAAAATTATGAACTTTTAAGTGCAACCTAAATAATTAATTATTTGATGATAATTAATAATTTATATATCTGGAAAAACTAGATGTATTTCTTGATTTCATTCAAACATAAAATAACAAAATGCATGAAAGAGAATAAAAATTCCTTTTTGATTAAACTAATTAAAAAATAATTAAGTTAAAAATATGTTTTTTAAACAAATTTTGAATTCAAAATATAATGTCGTTAATAATAAAAGTAATTCTATAACAAATATTATAGTGAATTATAAATATTTTAAATTTAAAATATAATTTTCATAAAACAAAATTTCTTGGATATTACCAGCAACATTTTGTTTTAAATATGAAAAAATCCGTGCATAATAATTTTGTTTTTTCTTACCAGAAATAATAAAGAACTTCTTAAATATTTTCGTATATTATTTATTTTATTCAAACGAGACAAAATGAATAAGTTAAATTATTCATTTTGACATTGTTTATATTAGAAATGAAAATTTTGCATATGCAGAAGGAAAGATGAAGAAATCATTGAACGAAAATTATATAGATACATACATACTTGCATATATTTATATATATATATATATATATATATATATATATATATATATATGTGTGTGTATATTTATGTATGTTTATATGTATATTTATAAAATAATTCGATTCGATGTATTACAACATATTTATTCCATTAGAAAAATCAAATCGTGACCACGCAACATGAATCGATCCAACAAATCTGATAATGCGACAGCAATTTATTAAAATCACATCGAAAATACAAGAAAATATATTTTTCTATTTATATTTTTTCTTCATTTGTGTATGTCGATTGGATTTAATGAGCGTAATGAATTAGCACAAAAACTAAAAAATCAATAACTAATAATATATACACTGATTTTAAAGCTGGTAAAATTCTTGTAATATTTTTATATATATACTAGCTGACCCGGCAAACGTTGTTTTGCTAAGTAAGGTATATTCTAAACAATTTCTAGAGAATCAAAAATATTAATACTTGTGTATAAGGATGTGTTGTTTGAATGCTATATACATACAGTGAGGTATTATGAAAACAATAAACCCTATTAGTTTGTTTATATTTTGTTAATACACTTATTGATTACGTTTCAAGTTTTTCAGATTCTTTTTGGATTCTGAATTTTGTGTATAATTGTAAATAATACTACTGAGCTTATACAAAATTTTCAAATTTCTGCGAGAAGAGATAGAAAATGAATTAAGTATTTCTTCTTTGACCTGCTTTTTGAAAAGTTTCAAGTAACATTAGATGAATTAAAGTAAATTTAATAAAAAGTATATATGTAGAGCAGGGCGAGACACAAAGGTTTAATTTGACTTTGAGCAAATATAAACTATATTGTGAAAACCATAACAATTATATCACAACAAATAACACATTTCAAACGAACAATTAGCTGTCTACGATCAGTAAAACTGCCAGGTACTTCATCATTGTGGAAATGTGCTTTTTCGATGTCTTTCAAAAATTTGTTATCTAGACCTTTTTACCCTGTAGGCGGGGTAACTTGAAACGGGCAGGTGGCAAAAATATTTAATGTCTTATTTTAATTTTAAAGGTATTTTACAAAATAATTTCATTTTTAACTAATGCCAAAAAACTACCAACGGAAGAAAATACATTTGTTCTGAATTTTCAAAGATTACTGTTTATCTCCCGATAGCAAATTCATAAGAATTGAGGTTATAGCTGGTTGTACATTTTTTCCCTCTATTTTCAAATATCTTTGTTAAACAATGCTTAAATTTACTGGTTTTTGACACATCAGTGGTGGACCTTTTCAACCCCGGACCTTCATATATTACTATCTATTCTTCGATAAATTCTAGGAAGTTATAACTGGGAAAATGTTATTCGACAAAATGTCCATTTGATCGATACCCAATTTAGGTTCTGAATTTAAATAACATAAATAAAAAATAATTTATAAATACCAATGAATATATAATTATACAAATGAGATCTTTCAGAGCACCGTGTTTGAGAAAAATATGCCAAAAAGTGCATTTTCATATTAATATTTAAAAAAAGTTGATATTTTGAGTTACTAGTAACACTTGCGGCTCGTTTACTCACGTTTTTGTATATAAATATAGCTACAAACAAAACTACTTACTACAGTTTGATAATAATTAAATGATATTCACGTAAAACATCCTATTAAGCGCAATTGAACATCATCTGTCTATAACGTTTGACATTTAACGTATTTGCCACCGTCCATTGTTTTATTTAAATTATGCTTTCACAAAAAAATTCAAATTAAAAATGTAAAGTTTCTACGCGATTTTAAAATATTATCGCACCTTTGCGACAACCTACTGATTAGCACGAATTTTTTCAAGACTAAGACTGGCCAAATCGGTTCAGCCGTTTTCGAGTTTTAGCGAATCATTTGATCGAGAGCTCCATTTTTATATATAAGATAAGCCATAATTAATTTTATATTTTACAGCCATGACTCAAAACGTAATTTCATAGATATAGAACATGATTTAAAAGTCTTCATAAAATATATCGCTCGGGAAAATAATTTATATTATAAACTTCACCCCAGCTCTCCTATTATTTTTAAACTCTAAAACCTTTTACATTAGAATATTTGCATCTATTCACTCATTTACTTATTATTATACGATGTCGTCGTAGAGTTTCGCAAGTTAACGCGACATTACCCTGACAGGACGACAATAAGTCCATTTGCCGTTTTACAATTTGCCATTAGGACGTTTCGCCCCCTTATCCCACCCGGCACGGATAGTTAAGCACAACTCTCTATCTAGAGGGCAATTTGAATTTTATTTTATGCTAAGTTACACTTTATGAAAAATAAAAAATTAAGTATATATATATATATATATATATATATCAAGGGGCACATTTGAATTTGAATGAAAATCCTTCCAATATAAAATTGGAATCCTTGTAAGGAAAAATTCCTTTAAAATTTC